TCCATGACCTGCGGGGAGAGAGGAAGGGGCTCAGGGGGGCCCCGGCCCGCCACCCCCCCACCCCAGCTTCCCGCCGGGCCCCCTACCGCGCAGTGGGCTCGGGCAGCGGTGCCGGCAGCCCCCTTATATCGCCTCCACAGCCCCCGCGCGGGCAGTGACGCAGGCCGAGGGGCTGGGGGCGCAGGGTCAGCCCCCCTCCCCCAGGCTCATTAGGAGCCGCCGGCGGTAATGAGGAGCCGGGGGTGGGGGACCCGCCGCGGCATCGGCCGCCACCAACTAATTGGGACCAGGCGCTGGGACCTGAGAAGAGGGAGCGGCAGAGGCTGAGGGAGAGGTGGACACAGGGGGTGTGTCAGAGGGATAAAAATAGAGACCGGCAGAGACCATCAGAGCAGAAGACAGAGACACACAGGGAGACGGAGAGACAGGGAGAGCAACAGAGAGGAGGCCCGAGGAGCAGAAACAGAGAGACAAAGCGGAGGGAAAGAGGAAGGCAGAGTGAGGAAGAGATGGGGGTGAGAAAGAAGCAACAGAGGAGGAGGGAAAGGAGAGGGAGGGAGATGGACAGAGACGGACAGAGATGGAGCGATGAGGGGACAGGCTCTCAGAAAAACAGAAGGAAACGGAGGGACAGCCTGGACGGAGATGCCCAAAGCCAAATCCAGCTGGGAGAGAACCAGAAGCAGAGAGTGAGCGCTAGGGAAGGGGAAAGGGCAAGACACCACGAGGGGACGTGTGGTGAGGGGGGGACAGTTGGTGGAGTGACAGACAAAACCAGAAAAGTGTGAGGAGGGCCCTGGACTACCCTGTGGATGTCTAAGCCCTTCCCAGGAGGAGTTTGGGGTGTTGTGAAGATAAAGCTCAAATCCTCCCACACTGACATTTAGGAGGAGTCCCCTGTGCATGGTGGGGAGGTGGCAAAGGTTGAAAGGCCTGAACAGGCATGGTGACTCACACCTGTCATCCCAGCGCTTTGGGAAGCAGAGGTGAGAGGATTGCTTGAGCTTGCGGGTTCGAGACCAGTCTGGGCAGCATGGTGAAACCTCGTCTCTACAAGAAATTAAAAAATTAGCCGGGCATGGTAGTGCGTGCCTGTAGTTCCAGCTACTTGGAAGGCTGAGGCAGAAGGACTGCCTGAGCCCAGTAGGTTGAGGCTGTGGTGGCAACGGAATGAGACCCCAACTCAAAAAAAAAAAAGTGAATAAATGAACGACAGCAGCAATTGGGATATGGGACCCTGGGCTCCTCGTTTTCCAGAGAGGAGGGAGGCAGAGTTTGCACTCCGAGGTCTAAGAGTGGATGGGGACAGGAACTCAGACTCCTGGGTTCTGAGGGAGGAGGGACCTGGGAACCTGAATTCCTGGATCTGAGGAAGGAGCTAGAAGCCTGGACTCCTGAGTCTTAAGGGAGGAACCTGGGGGACCTGATTCAGGGGGTTTGCAGTAGGACAGTACTTAGGGGAACTAAGCTCCCAGACTTCTGGGTAGGAGGGAGTGGAGGGCCAGGACCCCTGATTTCTTTTCTTTTTTTTTTTTTGAGTTGGAGTCTCACTTCGTAG